AACGAGTGAACGTAGTTCCTTAATCACCCCCTTGTAAATTAATTTAGTTTGCAAAGTCAGTGTTTAAGCCAATGGCTTGGAATTTATTCTAATAGTTGGCGACTGTGTTCTCAAGACCTTCCATAAATGACTGCTGAGTTTCCCATCGTGCTCCGGGGTTTATCCTTACGACGGAAACAAGCAGATGTAGACTAAAGTAATGTTAGTCACAGAAAGCATTTCAAACACAAGGTAGAAGGATTGGACGCATGAGTTCTCAAGCTCTTGAAAGAGCAAACTTTGTATGTTGAACGTAGAGTTCTGTCCACCCACTAGGTGGCGCTATTGACCAAGACTAATGTGGCTACTGGCCCAGCCAGTACTGCTGGCATTGCATTCAGTCATATGCTCTTTGCTCTTAATTAACTTGCTCGTTTATTTTGGCACTTACCATCACTACAATTTTAGCTTATAAATTCAGGTCTGTTGGCTCACAGCATGCTAGATTTATTTGCATTTGTGGCACCGGAGATCAACTCCAGGGCTCTGAGCATGGTAGGCGAGGGCCTACCACTGAGCCCCTTGGCCCCAACCTTTCAGTGTTTTGAGTTAAGGAACGGAGACACAGACACGTTAAAACTCACTATAGACGTCTCTGGTCTGGCTTCAGTTTCTCATTCAAAAAGGGCTCCGATAAAGAACAAACATGGCGATTAAGCAATAAGGAGGAGAGATGTGTGGTGGTCAGTCCTGACCGGGAACTTGACTGGAGTGACAGTCAATGAGAATGTGTTTGGGTGTGCTATGAAAGGGTTGAGTGAGGAGCGGGAAACCGCCCGTGGGTGGGTGGCTCCATCCTATGGGGGGGGGCATCCTAGACTGAGTAAAAAGAGCTGGAAAGAGGATTGGCTGCTGCTCTTACCTCTCCCCTGTGACCAGCTCCCTCACATCCCACGGCTACACCTTCCTTCTCACTGTGGGCTGTAGCACAGCTAACCGAGGTCCCCACACACCCTTAGGTTGCTTCTTTGTCATGTATTTGGTCACAGCCCCAAGCAAAGTAAATACATCTGTTACGCCAGTGAGGCATTGCTTCTCAGTTAAAGTCTGGGTAGTCCTTGTTCCCTAACGCCAGCTTGGTCAGGTCCCAAGAGTCATTTAGAAAACATACTGCAAGGGTCCTAGCATTTGTAACGACACTGAACACCTGGGTTTGCTCTCTGTGTTATCCATCATGTTGAAACCTTAAATCCTATTTCGAATTAATTACTTATAATCATGAGCTTCTTCTGAGATTCACTCACTGGGTCTCACAACAGGGAAACATTAATATATAATTACTTAAAACAATTATAAGACTGGTTATCCAAATGGTCAGAGACAAACTTGCTCAAGGACAACATACCTTTCCAAAAAAAGGGGAAGGCCCCAGTCAAAGTGGTATTTAGGGTAGGTGCCAGCGTCTCTAAATGGCATGCTCTTAAAACAGGCAGTAGTAGCTTTTAAAGCTGTCACAATTCCTATCTGAAACTAAGTGACACTTCATCCGATTAAAAGACACAACCATTTTTGTTAGTTCTTCTGTCCCTAAAAACCCAGTGCTTGCTGCCCTTGATATGAAAGTCACACACACACACACACACACACACACACACACACACACCATCAGTGTCATTGTAGAGGTCTTGATAACTAAAACTAACCAGGCACCTGCATTTTTTTTTTTCAATAACAGGGCATATAACCTGTGATAGACAGCCACTGATGAGTTTGCATATTAATTCATTTTTTTCAGGTGGCCAGTGGCTCCACAGTGGTCACAGCTCCCATGAGATATCCTCGGTGTCTCATATTTTAGTGTTTCTTGGTTCCATCCTTTAAGTCTACTTGGTTATAAGGTGTGTGTGTGTGTGTGTGTGTGTCTGTCTGTCTGTGTGTGTGTGTGTTTGCCTGTGTGTGCCTGTGTGTGTGCCTGTCTCTGTCTCTGTCTTTCTCTCTCTCTGTGTGTGTCTCTGTCTGTCTGTCTTTCTGTCTGTGTGTGTGTGTGTGTGTGTTTGCCTGTGTGCGTGTCTGTCTCTGTCTCTCTCTCTCTCTCTCTCTCAGTGTGTGTTTACTGTAGGTACTGATTCACACCGGCATGTGTGTGAGCAAATGTCACGGTATAAGTGTGTGGATGTGGAGGCTTGAAGTCAACATTGGGCTCCTCCTCAATGACCTGCCACCTTACTGTTGTTCCTGAGACAGGGTCTCTCACGGACCCGACCGCTCAATGATTCAGCATGCCTGGCTGGTCTGTGAGTTCCCATCATCTGCTAGTCTCTGCCTCCCTGGTGCTGGGATAGATTACCATCAAGCAAAATTGTCTCTTTGCAAAACCATTGGAGGAATTTAATAAAAATATAGCCATTTTATACCAATGTTCCAACTTTACGGCAGTCTAGTTAATGTCCCTTAGCTTCTGTGCATTGTGCCTGACACCTGAATGGGTGTAGGAATTGGATTCAAGTCCTCATGCTTTTAGCAAGTGCTTTACTAACAGAGCCAAATTTAAATTCTGAACGTATGTTTTCCAGTGTTGGGATCAAATCCAGGCCATGGGCATGCTAGGCAAGAGCTCTACCCATGAATTGTATCATCAGCCCTAAACTTCTTGAATGTGGGAAGCACCATGATTTTAATGTGCCACCCGTGAGAACAAGGTGGTCTGGTGTGAACAGAATAAAGAGACCCATGCCTCCTCTTGCCTGTCTGGCTGTAACCCACCAATGCACAGCAGTGACAGACAATATGGCACTTTGTGTTCACAGAAGCCCAGATACAAGAAGAAGCTGCTCAGGAGTTTCTGCTCACCCCGCATCCTCTGCCTCCGGGACACAGAAACTGTTAGAATACAGGAACCATTTGCTTGCTTGGCCTTCAGTGTCATCATAAGGGAAGGGCAGAAGACATTGCCAAACAACCATAGTACACAGAAGTTCCTGAACTCTTGGCCCAAGGTTCATTTTGTCATGCACACACTTCATGACAGCAGAGAGACAGACCGGTATTACAAACTGGGTTTATAAATGTATTGCCACAATGTATCTTCAGTAACTGGCGCTTGGAGTTCCCTGTGTGCCAGGAATTACTCTTTTTATCACTTCTTTGTGAGGAAAGGGGTAGGACTAGGGTAGCCAAGATGCACCAGGAGAGCAGAATAGATGCCTGGCATCATGTAAGCCCCAGGAACAGCTGCATCTGGTTTTTGGAAGCCCTTTTATCCCTTTACACAAGAACACCAGATGCCCCTTATTCCTTCTGACGCCTTTAACATGTTGTTACTGCCAAACTCAAAGGGAAAAGAGCTTTAATTTACTGGTGGGAAGGTTGTAGCTGTAGGTAAAAGAAGTAACAGCAATCCAATTGTCACAAATCTTTTCTGCTTTAATTGATATGCAGGCAGATCATGGGATCAAGTCCCACATTTCTGAGATGTCACCCAGTTAACTGGAGAAAATAGGAAGTCAATAACAAATACTTCCAGCCATAGCTAGGTAAGTGTCCCTTGGGGATATGCTTCTTGTTGGAGTTTTGTATGTGTTTAAGAATGGAGATGAAAATGTCTTCATTGAAATGAACAAGTCTTCATCCCTACCACATAACAGATGTCTGGATGAGGATGTGTTATCAAGATTCATGCATCTCATCATCTCACACTGTGATGCTCACACACGTGTGCACACAGGAGTTGATGGGGAGATAGACAGACAAACAGACACACACACACTCATACACAAGAGGCTGGCCCAGAGAGAGTGAGAGACAGACAGACAGACAGAGGGTTCACTGGAGAATGACTGATGTCGTCCATTAAGGACTCTAATGTAGGGTAGCCCTCTCCCTGCACAGAGTAGGGTTCACAGTGCCTTACAGAACCACCGTCTTCAGACACATTGGAATGCTGACATCCTTCCCATTTTACATATGCAAACTCCTTCATGTGCCTGTTGCTGCAAGCGCAGAGATATTCCAGTTTCCAAACTCAGCTACTGAAGGCTTCTAGTTATTCAAACTCATTTTCCTGATAAGAAGACTCAAAGTAGGGCTCACCTTTGGGTTTTCTGATATATTCTAACAAGCAGATAAATTAGATTTTTTTTTGACTCTGAATGAGAGAGCTGGGAGATGTTTTGAAGCACCTGCCAGCCATTTATTCAAATGACAGGGCCCCGGTGCAGGCGTAAAGACTCCCCAGGGCAAAGGCAAGTGTGTCCAAGCCTTGGTGATGCAGATACGGCTCCCCCCATCTGACTGTCCGCAGTCCTTGGGAGCGTTTCCTCCCTCTGCTTTTTCTACCAGGCCATATGCCCTCTCTCAACAGCACAACGCCACAAACTGCTAGGTGAGTAAGTATGCAGGGCTTGCTGTGCGTGCATCACTAGATTAAGAAGCCCAGGAAAGGAAGCAGCAAGAGGGTATCTTTATCTCACGCTAAATAATAATGAGGAGAAAATAAGTGATGGATTTCCAAAAGTAATTATATTCACAGTGATACGGCGGCCTGTCCTGAAACCGCTTTGCCACTTCTATTTGGGGAGCCCTTGGTCTGTGAGAGTAAAATCTTAATTGCATTTCCAGTTTGTTTCCCGTCTAATCTACTGCCAGGATTTTGCACGCTAGAGTGCTTTTGTAACAGTAGTGTAGGGCAGAGCCGTCTCATCTCAAGTAGCTCTCCCTCACTCCCGTTTGCATCCAGGTGTAGGGGTGTATCTACATCCTTTGTTCCCAGCAATGGGCTTTTGGGCAAGCCGGTGGGAAATGTTGTGAACTTCTGTTTTTAAGGAGAGGGACATAGCTGTCATAGCCACAGCGAGGCTGTGTTTAACTTAAAGCTTGAGGTCCTGTAGTCAAAAGCTCATGCATGCTTCTCCTCTGTCTTTGAAAGCCAGGGGACCCAAGATATCACATCACACATCTCTCAAGTCATTGTCAAAGCAAGAAAGTCTTGGAGCGAACCCTACAGGGCTTACACATGGAGTTACCTGGGTCCTTGTAGATGCTGAGCACGCCCTTGAAGTAATGAGGTAAAAATCTTTCCAGTAAAAGCAGCACATCCTCCAACTCCTCCAGAATCCCCACGAGCAGGAAGTTTTCGTTCACGTTCAGTTTGGCACGCTCCAGGGCCCACTCGCCAGGCTCCCTTGACAGACAAGAAAGTTACTTACATCAAAGCCCCCAGGATGTGTATCACCAACCCATGGAAGGTTGATCTCTTCTATCCGACCATGTGTGTCAACACCCCCCCCCACCCTGAGTCGCCATTTGTGTAAGCCCTAACCTGAATTCCTTCTAGGTTTAGCCTAGGTGTGGCCTATTCTAGAACAGCCCATTCTCCTGGGGTTTCTCCAGGACCTTGAAATGAATATGCCTGACTAAGTATTTAATGAAAGACAATGATAGGCACAGGCACTTAGATCTCAAGCAGATGGTTAGAATGGCTTTATATAGATGAACCAGGTGGAACGCATTTAATGAAGTTAGAGTCACGGACAATATTTCTTGTAGCAATCAAAGCTAGTGTCCAATAGTGCCTGCTAATCACCCCATCCTTTGAAAAACATTAACGTTAGTTTTTGTTGTTGTACGATTGAGTTAAAGAAGGGGAAGAGCTGGATTTCCTTATGGGTCAGATTTGGGGGAATCTGGATAAGCCAAGGTCACTCTTGAAACAACATTAAAACAAGGCTTATCTGCTACAAAAGATTGCTGTAAAGTTCAACAGAGTGATATTGGTAGGGAAATCTGGGGACCCTCCTGTGAACTAGATAAGGCCCCTGAGGATACTGTCCAAGGTTTGAGAAGAGCCCATTTCAGGCCTGCTTTAGGGAGTTAGAATCCAAGTCTTTGGAATAAACATCTCATATATGGTGATATATTACTTATGATTTATTAAAGTTTGCCTGAGGATTCAGAAAGCAAAGTCAGCCACAAGCCTAAGAAGCCAGGCACACACCTTTGATCCTAGCAGCCAGAAGCTAGGAGGTGGTGGTCCACACCTTTAATCCTAGGACTCAGGATTAAGAGGTAGACCGATCTCTGTGAGTTCAAGACCCTCCAGATCTACACAAGAGTGAATCAGTCTAAAGGAATATTGTAGCTCACAAGCCTGTAATCCCAGGACTCATGGGAGGTATATAAGACAGTATCAGGCCTGTAGGAAACGTTCAGTCCCTAGCCATGCTCCTTGTGGGTCAGCCTTTGAGCCTGAGGAACAGGTAAGGACCACTAAAAAGTAATCACTTGATGCTGTATCCTCGGCTGCTGAAGCACTGGCTGCAAACCATTTCCTGACCATCAGTGTAAACGATGGAGGAGACTGCCTGAACCAGGATGCTGATAAGGCCCAGGCTTTGCATGGTAAGGGCTCTCTCCCGTTACAGTGAGCTAAGCAAAACAGCACCAACAACCCAACTCACAAACACACGGAAATGGAACGTAAGCCAAAACATGCCAAGAATGTGTCACAATTAGAATCAGCTATGCATCCCCCGCCCCAACCCCAGGGCCGGAACATAAGGACCCTCTGCTTCTACTCAGTTTCCCCACTTTGAAAAAGCCGTAGTCCTACCACACAAAGGCAGTAATTCATTGTTGAAATCTTTTCTTCTCCGGGATATAGACATGTGCTTAGAACAACGTATATGATTTCAACTACAGCTACTCCAGTACCACCTAGGAAAGCAACTAGGGGTGCTTGTGCCTGGCCAGTGTGAAGTGAAGACGGCTCTGTGTTCAAGTCAGGCCAGCTTGATCTCTGGAAACCCTCTCCATGTCAGTGGCCCTCAACCTTCCTAAAGCTGTTGCCCTTAAATACAGCTCCTCATGCGGTGGTGACCCCCAACCATAAGATTATTTCCCTTGCTACGTCGTAACTGTAATTTTGCTACTGTTAATGAATCATAATATAAATACTCATGTTTTCTGGTGGCCTTGGGCGACCCCTGTGAAAGGGTCCTTCAATTCCCAAAGGGGTCATGACCCAGAGGCTAAGGATCACTGTTCGGCGGGACTGTACCTCATTAGGGACACTGTGTGTGTGTGTGTGCTTCCAGAGTGTTGAGCCCTCCGTAGCTTGTCAAGCACAGATATGGTTGTGGGTCACAGTCCTACAGGCTGGCCATCTGACGCTGGTCTCCACTGTCTTGTTGAATGGTGGTAACAGCCGTGTTTTGGGTAGACAAATGAACTTGGCGGGTGTTCCTGTTACATAGCTGTATGTAATCACCCCAATGCTGTGTCATGGAGCCTCACATTCCTTATATGACACCCAGAGAGGCCAATGGTATTCTTGAAGAGCTGCTGTCGCCATGGATGGAAGTGCAAAAGGTCTCGGGACTTCCTGCAGAAGGGTCCCACGGAGTGCCTGTGAGGCAGGGTGCTTACCTACATCTGGGGTGCTGTCCACAGAAATACGGGATGATGTAAAATAACCTGGGGTTGGAACACTCAGGGTAGTTTTCCAGAATGCACTCATTGATGTCCTAGAAGAGAAGAGACAGTAGTGAATAGTCTCATTGTCTTAGCAAGGCTTTGCTGAGTACCATAATCAAAACAAGACAAAACAAAACACGTTTCACCAGAGGCTCTTAGGCAGACAGAGAGAATTCAGACTTCCGAGGAAAACCTCCCTTTCACCCCTCAATATCTGGGTACACTGGCCAGGTGTGTGCATGGCCTGGGCAGGTAGGGGTGTGACTACTTGGCTGAATACCCTGCATCTCTCATCTCCTGCAGGCTGGAGCATTTAGTTGCGTCATAAGTGTTGTAACTTATGAAAAGCAGCATGCAAGAGAAAGACACCATTTACAGGGTTCAAGCATAGGGTTTCTGTTTTATTTATTTATTCATATTAGGGAAAGGGATCATAAAAAGGGGAAAGGGAAGAGGAGGAGAGCGGCCTCCTGAGACAGGAGAAGCAGGAGAGAGGAGAGAGAGAGAGGGAGGGGGGAGAGGAACAAACAGAGAGGGAGAGAAAGAGAGGGAAAAAGACAGAGATGGGAGGTGGGCAGGGATTTTAAAAGGGAACGTAGTGAATGTACACAGGTGGTGCTCTTAGTGGCTGCAGCTGAGGGCGTATCCTGTCAGGACCCCAAGGGCTGGCCAGTGCAGTTGCCTGAGTACCAACAATAAGCCTGATAAAGAAAGTTCTATTCTCGTGCTTTGCAGTGACCCTGGTGGCTATCTGCCACTTAATAGGCACCTAACAAATGTTTATGGAATTAATTCAGTAAGATTTGATCCTTAGTGAATTCTGAGCTAATCACCCACCATGGTGAGTTTCTTTATGTGTACAGACATCTGGTAAACAATTGTGAAGTTGCTCTAACAGTCTCGTTTCTACATTTCAGAGATGCTGTACAACTTCTAAGGTTATCAGTAAGAAAATGACAGGGTTTGGTGTTCTTTCACTTTCAAAGGCAGCAGTACGTGTCTCGGGTTTTCTCTTACATGAGGCCACATACGGGGTTCTGTTAGCACCGCTAACAGGAGTTTGGAACGGTCAGGGTTGGGGTGGAAACTGAGTGGATGAGCTTCGGTCCAGACCCTGATGGAGCTGAAGGGTGAAGGTGCAGGGAGCTGGCTGGTTAGTGATGAGGGGTTAGACGTAGGGCTAGGAGGCTATGGGGTTTCAGAAGGCCATGTCCCTACAGGACACTACAAATAACCCTGCAACGTCAACCTGTGGGAAGTCATAAATTTCTGGTTCTGAGAGTGCAGTTGACTAGGCTTCTTCTTTTAGACCAAGGCACATCCTGGGGGACCCCAAAGGGTTCCATTTGGGCCCATTAGGAAGACAAACGGCGCTCATTACAGCCCTGCTAAGGAAATTCTATAGGAAGAAGTAAATAAAATATGTCTCCGGCAGAAGGTCAAGGGCAGCATTCAATATCCATCGCTCAAGGACGCGGACGGGGATGCTCAAGACCAAAGCCTTCGGGAATCAGCTCCTGATCACTTACACAGTCTATCTGGAGGGCTGACTCTGGAAATGGAATCTCAGTTCAGTGTCTTGTTCTAAAGGGGCCCTCAATTTCTGGGGATAATAGAGTGATTTTTAATTTGGTGGGAGTCTTCATTGCGATCATCTTTTTGTGATATGCTTCTCTTAGCACATACATACTTTAAAACGATCTCCCAATTTCCTCTTTCTTCGTCCCTTTAATTTTTAAATAGTATTTTATTTTATGCATATGAGTGTTTTGCCTGCACATATGTTTGTGCGCCAAATGCATGCCTGGTGCCCAACAGAGGTCAGAAGAGGGAGTTGGATTCCCTAGAACTGGAGTTACAGACGGTTGTGAGCTGCCATGTGGATGCTGGGAATTGAACCCAGGCCCTGTAGAAGAGCAGCCAGTGGCGGGTCATCTCTGCTACCGTTTCTTTTACTTTTAACGATTTAAGTAGAAATGGCTTACTTTTATTGTATTGGATTTGTTTGCTGAGTGTGTATACATCATGGTGAGATTCCCATACACCCATATCATGCACCTTTCTCCCATTTGCCCTCTGCTCACCTCCTCACCCCTCCACCCCCTGCTAGTTTCCTTCACTTCCACTTGTCTCCCTCCTGCTTCTCCTCCTCCTGATGCACACACGCACGCATGTGCGCGCACACATATAAATCTAGATTCCGCCTACGAAGGAATACCATGCTCTACTTCTTCTTTCTCCACTGTCTTGTCTGCTTCCCGTTAGAACTCTTTCTTCCCATAATAAGCCCCACCCTTCTACTTCCATATTATTTGTACATACAGACCACATACATAAACCACACACACACACACTTACACACACACATACACACACTTACACACACATACACATACACACATACACACACATACACACATACACACACATACACACACATACACACACACATACACACAAACACACACACTCTTAAATCTAGATTCCCATATATGTGAGAGACTGATTTTTGTCTTCCCGAGTCTGGCTTATCTCACTTTACATGCTGATCTCTGGTTCCATCTATTTTCTGGCAAATGACCTTATTTAATTCTTCTTAATGGCTGGATAAAATCCTAATGTGTGTGTGTGTGTGTGTGTGTGTGTGTGTGCATGAATGCGCATTGTGTGTTCCTGTGTATGCACGAGTGTGTTGTGCGCTCGTGTGTATACACAATTTGTATGTGTGCATTCATGCGTGTGCATTTATCCAATCACATTTTCTTTACTCATTCATCATTTCTGGGCCTCTGAGCTGGTTGCTTCTCTTGGTTATTGTAAGATGTGCAGCCATGAACACGGATGTGTATGTGAGCAGCCATGAACATGGATGTGTGTGTGAGTAGCCATGAACACGGATGTGTAAGCAGCCGTGAACACGGATGTGTGTGTAAGCAACCATGAACACGGATGTGTGTGTAAGCAGCCATGAACACAGATGTGTGTGTGAGCAGCCATGAACACAGATGTGTGTGTGAGCAGCCATGGACACGGATGTGTATGTGAGCAGCCATGAACATGGATGTGTGTGTGAGCAGCCATGGACACGGATGTGTAAGCAGCCGTGAACACGGATGTGTGTGTAAGCAACCATGAACACGGATGTGTGTGTAAGCAGCCATGAACACAGATGTGTGTGTGAGCAGCCATGAACACGGATGTGTGTGTGAGCAGCCATGGACACGGATGTGTGTGTGAGCAGCCATGGACACGGATGTGTGTGTGAGCAGCCATGGACACGGATGTGTGTGTGAGCAGCCATGAACATGGATGTGTGTGTGAGCAGCCATGAACACGGATGTGTGTGTGAGCAGCCATGAACACGGATGTGTGTGCAGCAAGTACCATGGTGTGATGCTGCCTTCAGCTCCTTGGAGCATCTGCGTGCACATGGCGTATCTGTGTCACACAGCAGTTCTAATTTTAGTTTTCTGAGGAACCTCGGCACTGATTTCAGCAGTGGGCATTCCCACCGATAGTGTGCAAGCTTCCTCTTCCCCAAACACTTGCCGGAATGTATCGTTTCGTGACAGCAATTCTGACTAGGGTGGGACTTGTTCTTTGGTTTTGTTTGCTGTTGTTGTTGTTTGTTTACTTTTCTCCCCTTTGCATGTTGTGTTTCTAGGGTAAGAGTGCTTTTTAAAAAAAAAATCTTAAAAACTCACAACTGAACTTTTAAAATTTAGAGTGGGAAGTGCTAAGCCACACCATTACAGCAGTGACTGTCGCTAAGTAAAGTTGACCTGTTCCACAGGACCTTGAATCCTGTGACCTCTACAGCACCCTCCCCTGCTGGCACTCTTATACAGTTAGGTCTTGGGCACAGGACTCCACTCCACTCATTATCCCACACCATTGGGGAACTAGAGAAAAGCACGTCAAAGTGGGCACTGAGGGTAACTGACAATTCTTTCCATACCCAAGCCATAAAAATATAACCCACCTGGGATTTATCCTAAACAGATTACATGAGCCCTTGGTGTAGAATCCCAACAAAGCCAAACAAAAATGGTGTATGGATTTTGTTGTTTATAGCTTTGGTAGTAAAGGAACTCCAGTTCTGGTCTCAGTCCTGAGGTTAGCTGAGTGTCCTTAGCAAAATGATGACACCTTTGAGTATCATTTTTCTCATCTGTGGGACACGAGGCTGGACCTCACAACTCATTTTATGAGCCAGTGGACAGATGTGCCCAGGTCCCTAAACCAGGTTTTGTATGCTGAAGAACTAGAAAAGATGGCCACACTTTGATTGGAATGTTCCGTGTAAGTAAGGGCCCTCATTCCCTTCTATACGTTTCCATCTCTCCTGGAACGATGCCTCGGGACAGCACTGACGTCAGCAGATCTCACCTGGAGGTACCACTTGCTAGTAGTGGGGTCCTTGGCAAATGAAATTTCTCATCTGGAAAATGGGAACAATATTTGCACCCTCCCAACCCGACCCCTAAATAAGACTAGAAAGTATGAGTGTCCTTCACTCTAGCAGCCATTCAACTCTTTATATTATGACATCTTACTATACTCTCACCACCTGGATCCCTTTAGGTCATACACAGCTTTAAAATAATGACTTTCTGCTAACTCCAAGCAAACAGGAAGAAAAATAGGGAAATAAAAACATGCACAGTTCATGTTTGTCAATAGTAACACAATTGGTGGGAAACAAACTAATAATACTATGAAGCAAAAAACAGTCAAAATTCCCCAACCCTACTCCTGCAGAGCTTGGCTGTCAGCTCAGCTAAGTTCCTACATGAAGCCACAGGCACTATAGGGAAAAAAAAAAGGTACAACAGAACCTTTTCCAATATGGATTTATAAGAGGTTGGGAGTGGCTCTTCCTACTCTAAAATTAGACATTAGAGGAGAGGTGAGCGGTAAAGGACTCTGAGAAAGGGTGGTTTAGTGTGCTGGCTCTAACAGCTGTGTTAGAAATGGGAAAGGGAGGAATTGCTGAACCCATTCACCACCCAGGCATTAAAGGAGTCCTTGGCCCACGGGGGGGGGGGGG